CTTTCAAACTTTTACGGAATGAGAATTAATAATGTTGACGTGAAGCGATTGATACAAATTAGCTGAAATTGTACGACCAGTTTCTTCAATGCACACTGCACGGGCGCTGCTTCACAAAGTAAGTCTCATAATATATTAATGTTATGAGAAATCGTATGATTAAGCATAATCTCGAAATAAGATTGTCCAATCTAGTTTGAGATAATATAGAAAAACGGAACTTTGAGAGTAGGAAGTATAGCGGGGCTCGGTTCTCTTACAAATCGCGTGTAAGGAGCTAATAGCCATTTCCATGACAAATCGGCGGGGCGACGCGAGCAAAGTGGTCGCGCCACTTCAAATAGACCCGGCGTGTAATTCATTCTGTATAAATAAACAGGAATATTTTACATAATTGCGCGGGAAACTCGTTATCGCGGCCCGGTAATGATAGCCCCGCGCTAGTCGCCATAATTTAGAACGCTAATAATTAGACCGATAATTACTAAACGCGGCTCGCTCGAGCGTAAGATTTACCGGCGCTCCTGAACGATCTGTCCGCACAACCAAAAAATGCATTTTAATATATCGTAACGATGTATTGATTAGCATGGCCGAGGGGAACGCATGGAAAAATAGCGAGATCCGCCCTGCAACCTGGAATTAGACGCATTTAATCGCCGCTCGTTAATTACGAAAATCTCGGCTACCTCGAGCAATATAGCGAGATGTTCCGCTAAGTTCCATAATTTGCGTGTATATCATTTCGACAGAGGCAATTCTCAATTAATTCTATCATAACGTGATGAATTCTGTTTATCATAAGATAATTACGTTCACTTACCTTCACAGGATGTTTCCATGCCTCTGTATAAGCTTTTGTTCAACAAATACGAATTGTTTATTTTCATAATTGTTCGATCGTATTGTTAATTGAGAAAGGTACATAATTGAGATGACTTTTTCCTTCTATCAACAAATTGGATAGAGCACAAAGTCGCAATTTAATGTCGTATTTATCGCGCCGTATCATCACCGTATTAGGACTTGATAAATTAATCAAGGCCAACAAGAATAGGTTAATAGAATCCCGTCACGAGTTGCCCGCAGCAGGCATCCGCATCTCTTTCCCGTGGCGCGAAGAGCACACGTTATTATTATTATTATTATTCATAAACCGGTCTATTCTCACCCTAATCGAAATCAGGACGCGCCATTAAATTCCGGGGGCCGCGCCCTTTAATCGTCGCCCGACAGCGTTACGGGCGCGATTTGTCATCCACGAAATTGAGTCGCATCTGCAGAGAGACGCGCGCGCGTCCGGGATGCTGCGCTTCCGACACTCACACGCGTACGTTAATGTACACGCGCACACGCACACACACACACACACACACACACACACACACACACACACACACACACACACACACACACACACACACACACACACACACACACACACTA